GAGGGAGCTCTATACTTGGCCCCATCAAAAAAGGAGAGTGTGATAAGTTAGCTGTCATCAGAATTAAAAAGTAGGTAAAATAATTTGTAGCACATAACAGATGTCAACACATATTAATTCCCCTTTTATATTTACCTTCTGTTACTTGAAATCAAGCTGTGGAATTCTCTAGTTTATATTTAAAATTTAATTCAATGTATCAGTTAGAGCTGAAGCATCCAGAAATTCTTTCCTAATCCCTAGGGCTTAGCATGAAATCTGAAAGAATGTTTTGACTTGTGTTATTTATTATACATTGTGGTTTTTCAATTCTATTTTTCTGTCACTGTATATCATACAAGAACTTGTTGAAGGACTCAGAAAAAAATAAAGGATAAATTTAATTTTGAATAGCACAGTGTAATTAAAAAACAAATATTTAATACTAGAAGTTGAATTTTGAACTGAAATAAAAGAAAAATTTGAAAGGTAAATTTAAAGAAAATAAACAGAGAAAGATTTTAAAAAGGAGTCTTAACAGGTTAATATTATCCCTTAGCTATTGCAGACTGATCAGGTCTGCAATCTTCTAAATGAGTGGATGGTGAAGACAAATAAAAGAGACCAGTGGTATGATTTCAGGGCTGCAAGAGGATCAAAATCCTCCAACAGAATTCGAGACTCTCTGGGGGCTGAGATAAAGAACTTCTCTGGGGGCCCTGGAGAGGGAGGGTGGGGGAGATAGCTCAGCAGCACAGTGCCTGCCTGGCAAGCACAAGGTCCTGAGTTAGATTCTTAGGTACCAAAGAAGGGAGGGGGACAAATAAAAAAACAAACAAACAAACAAACAAAAAAAAAAAAAAAAAAAGGAGGAGGATACTGATGAAAATGTGGGAATCTGAGCAGAATTTTGGGAGACAGTTGAAAAACTTCTGCAGGTAGTAAAGTATGCTAATTAGGAGACTATCTTATGTCCAGGTTGACATTTGTTGTAGGAATGTGGAACCTGAAGCTATAGCCTCCTTTTAGTTAATTGGGGTTGGAGCAAGGTATGCTCAGTTGTGGCCTTAGACAAGGGGCCTAGGCCTTGGACAGGCTGACAAGTAATCATGGAAAGTCAGTTGGTTAATATTAAATCCTGCTCAGAGCTGCTTTGTAGTGGTCTCCATCAGAGTCTTATGCTGGACTGGACTGAACAGATTGTTCTTTATTCCTAAAATGTTGTGCTTGTGATTTCTTTCTCTTTTTCTCTTGTATGGGCATGCATCATTGGTTTATGAAGAAAGGTAATCTCAAATGTTTAAAAGATCATTACTAAACTGTTTAAAATATTTTAAAGCACGTTTTAATGGGACTACCAAGTACAAATAATGTGATCGCTATGGAAGTAAATCATACATAAAATTTTGCAATACACTGCATTAACATGGTTAAGTCTTGCTGAATAGTGTATAATAATTGAAAAGAACACATTCAGCAGAGAAATATCTACATATATGAAATCCTCTAAAATAATGTAATAATGTGTATTTAGTTTGAAGAATAGTTGTTTTTTCGTTATTTTCTAAATCCTATTTTATCATTGTCATGTGCGGTCTGGTAAATGTATTTAATATTCACTGTAATTCCATGCACAGAATAACTGATAACCCATAGGAAAGCTGCAGTTTCAGTTCTCAAGTGAGATACTTGACCTCCAAATTTAATATTTATTCATAGTTTTTCTTTTCTTGATGGCAGATTGTTTACAACCTGTTATATTCCAAAATCAATTGAAACTATGGCCAAATTATAGCATAACTGGGTTTATGCTGTCAGGATTAGAGCAAGAGCCACCATAGCAGAAAATGGTGTTTTCAGTCTTCTTAATTTTATGTATTGAAGACATATTGGGCAAATATTTTCATTATTGTGACCATATAATCCAGCCAGACCCTTAGGAAATCCATTTACTTCTTCCTGTTACATCAGTCCTTGCTTATTGCTTCTTTGCTACATCCACAACCCCTAGAGTGATTATGAATCCTGGCTCTGAAGGTCACACATTACAGCTGACACTTCTCTCTGTTACTAAAGACGCAGCTCCTGCTGTGTGGCCTGATTCTTAAGTTTGAGACTCCTGACCTAAAGCATCAGTGTTCAAGTGTGTTAAACATACAATGTAAGTTTAAGGAAATTAGGGTTGGCTGTTATCTAGATGTCCCCTCAAAAGTTTCATGTGGTCATGGGTAGAGATTTTTGGAGGTGGCTTAGCCAGGCTAAGATGCTGTGTGTGATACTGGGACCAAGGGTCTGATACTGGAATTAAGTGTAGATTCCCCCCACCCTCTAAGTACAGATAGCCTGGACAGAATATAAGGAACAGAAAACAGAGGGCTGCCCTCTCTTACTGTTGCTTGGTGCTTCTTCAATACTTTCCTGCTTTGCTGCCTTCTCTCCACCACGAACTGTTTCTCTGTGATGCCCTTCTGCCATGCCACCCTGCCATGGAGCCAGCCACTTATAGACTAAAACCTCTACCAGCTGTGGCCCAAATAATCCTTTCCTCCCTTAACCTGAGGTGTCAGATATTTTGTCTCAGCAAGGATAAAAGTAACTATGATGAAATCATAACCAGATGGAACTTGGGACAGGAGGATTTCAACTTGGAGTCCGACCTTGGCAATTTATTGGTTTAGTGAGATCCTGTCTCAAATTAATAAATAAAAAAGAGTTGTAATGTAGCTCAAAGGCCCTAACCTAAGTTTTATCTCCAGTATCAGAGTAGTAGTAGTAGTAGTAGCAGTAGTAGTAGTAACAAAAGCAACAGCAACAACAATAATAAAGAAGAGGATGAAGAAAAAAGAAAAAGAAGAGGAAGAATAAGTAGTATTCTTATTGTGTGAAGTGGGGCTTTGAGATAGTCTGATTCTCTTATTTTCCAACAGACTTTCACATAATCATTTTAATATGTATTGATGATTATTAGATGAATCAGTAATTAAGATAGGTGTTATAAAAGGTAGTTTTTCTTTTTCTTTTTGGAAATAGCATGGGTTCATAGATTTTCAAATTTCATTTTGACATAGCACTTTTTCAACTTTTTATTTAGCTAATTTACTAAAGTGCTGTCTTCATTATTTTTCTCTCATTGTTGAGACAAAATACCCAGCACTCAAAATTAAGGATGGAGAGGTTTATTTAGCTCATAATTTGTGGAGGTTTCAGTTCCTACTTGGTTGGCTCCAAGGCACAGTGGGACATGGCAGGGGGCAACAGTTCAAGGTGGCAGAAAACAGCAAAAGCAACAAGAGCACAAGGGGAGGAGCGGTGGCAAGCAGCCTCTTTCCCTCCCTTACATTATATGCAAACTACCTCCCCTGGGGCAGGTGTAGCACTCACACCCATAATTCCAACATTGGACCATGAATCAATCATAAACTCTACAAGCCCGCCCCGTGACTGCATGAGGGGACATCCAGACATAAACCAGAACAAGTGCCCAGACTGAGCTCAGTATTGCAATCCTCATGCCTCAGCTTTCTAGAATGCTGGACTCACAGGTGTAAGTCCACCAGCACACCTGCCCAGCTACTGAACTAGAATCTATCTCTGGTGTTATTTACTTTGTTGCTTAAATTGACCAAGATTTGACCAGTGTGGGCCCCTTCAAGCTGGAGCCTGGGTCCCCTCAAATTTTCAGTACTTTCTCACTTTCCCTGTCCCAGCCACAGAATGAACCAGTTCTCCACAAAGGCCTTGTTCCTTTTATTTGTTTGATCACTAATTCCACACAGAATCATCTACTGCCTTTAAGAGTGATGACTAAGACACTAGGAGAAAAATTCCAAACTAACATCAGCCTTAAGAGATGCTGGTTGATGTGGGTGTGGTTGTACATACATGAATTCCAGCACTGGGAAGCTGAAGAAGGAGGATTTTAAGGCTGAGCCCAGCCTGGGCAATATATCTCTTAAAATGAAAACAGTAACACTTCAAAAGATATGTGGGTGTAGTTCAGTGGTAGAGTGCACCTATATTCCATTCGTAATATTGCAAAAAACAAAAATACTGTATCCCTGATTGAGACTGAACATAATGACAGTCCCCTTAATCCTAGCTCCTCAGGATCCTGATGCAGGAAGATTCCAAGTCTGAGGCCTGCCTGAGAAACAGTGAGATCCTTTTCTAAAATAAAGTTTTATTTTATTTTAGAGACAAGGTCTTGCTGTGCAGTTCAGGCTTGCCTTGAGCTCACTTTGTAGCCCAGGGTTGTCTTGAACTCGCAAAGATCCTCCTGCCTCAGCTTCCTGAGTGCTGATATTACAGGCATGTGCTACCAGACCAAGTTAAAATAAAATTTTAAAAAGGTTGGTGGTAGAGTTCTGTGATAGAGCACTTACTCAGCATGCATGAGGCCCTTGATTCAATGCCTGGTACTAGAAAAAAAAAAAATAAGTCCCAGACTGTAACTGAATCTCTGGATATTCTCTTTGAGAGAGCTTCAAACATGAATGCTTCCATCCTTTCCTTGGAAAGGTAAATGTGCTGTGTGGTGACACACTGTTTTTTTGTACTGTGTGGCCTAACATCCTGAGAAAGCAGCCTAACCCTGTGTAAGGATAGTGTGGATCGGATCCAAAGATGGCAAACTGAATGTCTAAGAAGCCAGCATCTTCTCATCTTGCAACTGTTTCTCTTGGGGATCAGAGCAGACTACCCATATCTGGCTCAAGTGCTTCAGCTTAGGGGCTGGCGGTCTGTTAGCCTCACCTTTTCCAAGTACTTCAGGGAAAATCCACTGATAGGATTTGGTTTAATTCTGAACCAAATAGGATGTATCTGGTAGATTCCAGCAACAGAATGAAAAGATCTGGCTACATTTAGGGTAGCACAAAGAAATGGAGGACAAGAAGGCCCTGGAAAGGTTCCACCAGGACCTGTATAAGACTAAGGTGATGGCGCTGCCAAGGCAGGGCCTCTGCCTGGAAGGACCCAGCTGCCTCTGATTTCTCACTTTTCATCCTACCTCTAGGAGGTCCTGGGAGCCTCCAGGCTGCAGAGTCAGAAGTCAGCCCAGCTGAGAGTCCTGGCCCTGGCCAAGGAAGGTGAGTGGAGATGCTCACGGGGAGGGTGGGCTGAGGAGCACTCTGAGAAAGACAGTTGAGGAGGAAGAGACGTTAGAGAGCTGCCCATTCTTACCCACAGGGTGGCAGCCCAGAGTGACCCGGCAAGGTGGGTGGAGGGGGGCCTGGGACTGCTCTGCCTCCCTTGTGGGGCTTACTGGGGACCCTCTTGGCTGCTTCCAATATTAAATGAAGGAGATGTGGAGGAAAGGAATACAAAGACTCCTCGGCCCAATGCCCTCCCCCCACAAAGAGTTGGGCTCCCCAGAGGCCACGGTGAGCCCGACTCTGCTTTGTCCCTTCTCTGTGTCTCCTTCTCTGCCTCCCGCTGTTGTCCCTTTGGACAACCAAATACCTTGGTTTTCCCACACCTTAATTTCCTGCACCACTGGTCATACACCATCTCCTAGGAACAAGAGATGCCAGTGGCAGACGGGAGGCTCCTTTCTGCTCCTTACACCCCCCTTACGCAGAGCATTTCCCCCACAAAATCACACCCCACCTCCGCAGATGGCATTTTTTAGTGAAGGCCTGCCCCTGCCCAGGAACATCTAGCTCAGCTTCCTAGGCAGCTGAAAGTACACAGACAGCAATGCCAGAGTCTGGCTCAACTGGCAGCATTGAGGAGCCAACCTGTGGAGGACACTTCAACCCCCAGGAATAGTGGTGACCATGTGCCCATGGTGAAGCTGCAGGTGAGTCTGTCCCACCAGGCTGGGAAGGGTGGGCAGGGCAGGTGGCCACAGAGCCCTGACCTTGGTGCTCTGCCTCCTTTTGGTGGGGTCTTGCAGGAAAAGGCAGTGACCAGGGTGAAGGAGCTGGAACAACACAGCGTGCAGCTCTGTTGGGCCAGATGAGCTGGGGCAAAGCACAGGTAGCAGAGGCTGTGGGGGAATGGAGAGGTCTGTAAGTGATCCTTGGGTGCTGTCCTCCCCACAACAGAACACGCTACCATCTGCCCAAATAGAAGGGACACTGTGAGGTGGAGGAAGAGAAGAGGAGGGAGGAGTAGAAAGAGGAAAAGGAGAAAAAGGAGGAGGAGGAGGAGCAAAAAGAGGAAGAACAGAAGGAGGCAAGGAGCAGGAGACAGAGGAAGACAAGGAGCAGGAGAAGCAGCAGGAGGAGAAGAAGCAAGATGAGCAGCAGGAGGAGGAGTGTATCACCCAACTGTTCCCAGTGAAGGCCAAGGTGCAGGTAGGACTGGGCATCTCCTCAGGCTGGGTCAGGGTGAACACTGAAACACTCTCCCTCTGGGTGAAGCCACTTGTGCTGCAGGAGTTGGTGTTGCTGCTGAAGCACGATTGCAGGTCCCATGAGGGCATGTTTATAGCAGCAGCAAAGAGCCATGGTGGGGAGCCTATTGCAGCGTCCACAGACACGGAGGATACTGCAGCCCAGGAGCGTGGTGAGTGGAGTACTGGGAGGGGCAGCACAGCTGGGCAAGGGGCAGGTGGCACAGCACTCAGTGCCTGCTGCTCTCTCTCCACAGATCCCGCAGCGGGCAGCCCTGTGCACACTGAGGAGCCACCAGGAGAAGAGGCTGGGGCAGGGACCTCCCCAGAGCCCCAGCTGCCTGCGAGTGAGAATCCCAGCCAGGCCTAGGCTTGGGCCTTTATCCTTCCACACAGCGGTTTCCTTTTTGGCACCTCCTGAGGAGGAAGAAACTATGCAACCCAATTTGATCTAAAGAATTTCTCCAGCAAATCCTGGAGAAGTGGGCCCAGGGCTGTGTCCCTATGGTTCCTCCATTCAGTTCCTGCCTCCCTGTCTCCCTGTCTCCCTGTTATTGCTAGAGGAGCAAGATAAACTCCACAAGTTTATTTTTCATCAAAATTTTTTAATTCCCAAAATTGTAAAAGAACTCAAAATAAAAAAAAAGTAAAAATAGTTATATGAAAAGTGAAAAAAACTTCAGAAAAATATTTAAATAATAAATGTTTTGTATTTTAAAAATTTCTTTATAGGTGCAAGGACAGAGGGAGGAGATAGGGATGGCATCATTGTGCCTTGGCCCTGTGGGTCCTGTTTACTTTGATTTTCATTAGATTTGGAATAAATGCATTTCATCAGGCTGTCCCCTCCCAGGGCCCTGGAGTGACTGAACATGGGCAAGGAGCAAGGAGTGGCCTGACAGCAGGGGGCGTGCTTCACAATGTGCAGAGTCCCAGTGTCTGAGCTGGTCCAGCAGCACTGAGCGGCATCTTTCTATCCTGTCACCTGGATGTTACTTGGGCATGGCAAGGGGACTGCCTGGGGACTCAAAGGACATCCTGTTCTAGTGGGCTTCGGACTTGAGCCTGAGCTGATAATGGGGCTGAAACGCAGGGAGCAGCAGAGTAAGGGTGCTGCCCTGCAGGGCAGGATTTTCCAGTTCATGCCCTGGTCCTGGTCCTGGTCCTGTCCACACCTGGGGTCTATTTCTACTGTTTAACCCTGCATGTGCCGGTCACAGCCCCTGCTCAGCAAAGCTCAGTTTGTGATCTTGCTCCCTAGTGGAAAGACTTGCTGGTACTATATATATA